AGGGCTAGGAGCATGAAGAGGCCTGTGGGTCATAGAACCCATGAAGACATGGCTGCAGATGGCATCAGCCCTGGGAGTCCAGGGGTCCAAGGTGACTCCAATGGCAAGGCAGTGAGGGGAAGGTCTGGGGTTCTCATTCAGGAATACATAGTCAGCTGCAGCCACTCCTGGATGTTCACCTGGATTTGTCCAGTGCCGTCTTTGTCAAGTGATTTGAAGGCACGGAACATGGTATCCAGCCTGATCAGGCAGCTGATGAAGTTGTCAAAATCCATGTTCCCTCCCTCGTCCGAATAGCGTCGGATGATCATATTGTAAAGATGCTGATTCAGATGGAAGCCTGCTGCCTCAAAAGCCCCTGGGAGTTCTCTGCTGGAGATGGTCCCTAAGCGGTCAACATCAAACCGTTTGTATATGGCCTACCACTTTTTTATGTTGTTCCATAGGTACTTGAATTCCTCAAAGCCCAGCTTGCCTGTGGTATCGCTATCCATCACAGCCACCATGCTTCAACAGGTGTCAGTGCCAAAACCGTCTGTCTTCAGATCAGGATGTCGAGTCACGATTTTGTTGAGAATGTTCATGAGTTCTGTGGCTCTGACTTCCATGTCATCGCCAGCCAACTGGGCAAATAGTTTTCGGAACTGCCGCACCTCCTCACTCTCATTTGCCTCAGTGTTGGAGAAATGGGTACGTGGGGGCGGGGGCTCCGGGTTGTACTGAGCAGCGCTTCGCTGATGGCGCTAATGACCCCGCCCAGGATACGCATGGCCGTTCCTCAGCCACCACCGCCACCACCTCCCCGGCCCCGCTGATCAGGCCTCCGAGCTCATTACCCAGGCCCCCGCCCAAGCTCCCACCGCTGCCGCCGCTGTCACCGCCCTTCAAGAACGAGTTGACCAGGAACATGGCTGTGTCTTAGACTCCGCCTCGCTCACACGTCGGACAGTCCGCTCATCTACCGCTCTCAGACAGTGCTTTTAATTGGACTCCTAGAACTCAAGGGATGGGGCTGGTGTTTGTAGTCCACCAAAGATTGAAAGTATAAATAAATCCATCCTTTGTTTCAGAAAGGAGCCTCAAAAGACTTTTACCGGAAGTGGAGATGTGGTCCTCTAGAATAGTCTCCAGGTAGTCCCTGTTCCTGATACTTCTCTATGAGCTGCAAAACCCTGGGAAGATCACAGAAATTCTCACTCGTTTCTGCAAAATGGAGGTGATGATGAAAATTCTCAATTCCTTTATTCTTTTCAAAGATTTATCTCTTGGCTCTTCTCCTCAAGAAAGATAGACATTGAGTTCTAGCCAGTCATGGCATCCAGCTCTAAGTTCTTGATCTCTAGTGTTACATGGTAGCATCCTTTCCATTAGGTCCAGTTGTGACTTTTTATGTTTGATGATAATTTAGGGGGGTTGGAATCCAAATTCGGGTGTCAACTCTATTGGAAGGCCAACTGTCTGTCTCGGTTGTGGAGCAAATAAATACTCCACAGCGTCTGTGCCCCTGGGATCCCCTGGACACCTCCAGATGTTCTGGCCGTCTACTGCGTCAAGGAGCTTCATTGAATAGGGGCCCAAATAAAACGAAATGTACGCTACTCTTGGCAATTATTTCTTGGTAGTACTAATGCTCCCCATTATTGGTTTTGTACATGTAATTTTAGTAATGTAAATACTGTTGTGGAATAGAACTCACAGATATTTTTTTACAGGATCCTGAGTTTATTTGAGCTGTCTATGTAACTATTTATCTAGTATCACTTACATGGCCATGTTTTGATTTGTAGAGGACCTCATTTTCTTACTAACTCCACCAACTTTGAACACCACATTACTTCCATCTTTGCACCGTAGACAAACCTTAAGTATCTTTGTACCCTCTATGGGTTTCATGTGAGAATTTCGTCAGGAGGTTATACACACACATACAAATTCAAGGACACAGGGTGCGGATTGCTTGATTTATAATTGTCAGTTTGAAAACTCAAGATGTGTCTGATTCAGGCCATGTTTTGGTTTTTGTTTTTTAAAACAAAAGAGTCTACTGATAGACTCTTGGATTATTTCCACCTTTTCACTATTATGAACAATGGTGCTATGAACACTGGTATAAAACGGCTGGGTCAGGGAGCTCTGGTGGCCTAGTGGCAAGGAGCTGCAACTACAATCCCAGAGGCACACGGTTCAAATCCACCAGATGCTCTGCCGGGGAAGGAGGGACAATCTCCTCCTGTACCAGTCAGATCTGATTTGATGGTACACTCACAAAAATAATAAAATAAAAATTAAAAAAGAAAATACTTTCCTGAAAACAATGAGTTCATTTATTTATTCACTCAGTACTCAGTGGAGGCCTTATAGCCCTGGTAAAACAAAGAAGACGTTATAGTTCATATTGCAAGTATACTGAAGGTGCAAGGGAACATTTTCCTCTATCTGGGTGGGTATGCAGGAAAGATTTCCATAGGAGGGCAAGGCAGGGCACATAGGAATCCCAGGAGGTCATCAGCTCAAGGAAATAAAAGACTGGTCTGTGCAGAGACCTGCAGCATATTTGTTTGTTTTGTTGATAATAAGAAAATACACAAGAAAACCTCAATTCAACAATTTCTACCTGTATTAGCCAGTGATAGATTATGTTCTTTGAGTTGTGCAACTATTCTCATGCTTTGAGTTTTTCCTCTACTGTTAACATGTACTGTAAAGACACTGTTGTCATTTTATGTAACTGTTCCCCTAACTTTTGATTTAGACTTAATAATCACATAGCACTCACCTTACTGGCATATTTAAGTATGTGTTTTGAGGCATTTTTTTTATATAATCCTTGAAAGTGACCTAGTACAAAGCTAGATTTATCCTGACATTTCTACATCATGCAGGCCTTGTTAGGAGCCGACCCTATAAACAACAATCTGAACACTGTTCTATCCTATGCCGTCCTCACACTTTTGACACATTTGAGCCCATTGGAGCAGTTACTGTATCAATCCATGTAGTTGAAGGTCTCCGTATCTTTCACTGGTCTTTTCACCCATGATGCCTCTCTCCAAGAAATAGCTTCTCCTAACAACATGTCCAAAGTCTGTAAGATGAAGCTTTATTATCTTTGCCTCCAAGAAACACTCTGGCTGCACTTTCCCCCAAGACCTATTTGTGTGTTCTTTTGGCAATCCATAGGCTATTCAGTATTCTCCAACACCACATGTTTCAACTCACCGGTACAGAGTCTTGTAAATCATGCTAAGGAATCTGGACTTCAATCTGAAATCAGTGAAAAATCTGAATGGTTGAGGGAGCTCTGGTGGCCCAGTGGCAAGAAGCTGCACTGCAATCCCAGAGGTATGCAGTTCAAATCCACCAGATGTTCTGCTGGAGAAGGAGGGGCAATCTCCTGTACCAGTCAGATCCAATTTGACGGTACACACACAAAAAAAAAATAATAAAATTTAAAAAAAAAAGATTGTAAAAGGAATTACATGATCTCATTTTTAAAAGATTTTTAAAAGATCGGATTGAAGGAAAAATGGAAACCAGGAGGTCCAGTGGGAGATTTTTGCAATTTTCCTGACAAAGATGTGGAATCAACAACTCATGTGGTCTCCGTAACTAAGGAGAAGAAAGAAATGGGGTCATTGGCCAGATATCTGGGCCAGAGGAATTAAATGAACAGTGGTAACACTTCATGAGATAGAGTACAGGAAGAGAATGTTTGGGAACAGGAGAAATCTGGTCTCGTGCTGCAGAGTAAGAAGTCACTACTATACTATTGAAGGCTTTGGAAATGATCAGAGCAAGGACCTGAGAGAGCATTTGGGGTGAGAAGAAGGACACCTGTGACAAGACTCCCTTAAACTCAGCATTGAGGTGAGGCTTAGGGAATATAGAGTTTAAAGGGATTGTATTATTGTAGATGTGTCTTTATGGTGAATTTGTTTCTTTCAGTTTAATATAGTAAAGTGAGGAAGAGAAAGTTGAGGGAAGTATACATAGATCAAATTGAGGAAATGCTGTTAACAGCTCTAATGTGGATAACCTTTTGTTTGGGTTAAATACAGCTCAGAGGTTCTTGGCCAAGGCTGCCAATGAGAACCATGTGGGGGGCTTTATGAGACATGGTCTACTCCCCAAAAACTAATTTGGTGGGTTTGGAGTCATAGGTAACACAGCCAGAGTGGGAACAGCTGGCTTAATAGGCTGGCTGGCAGCTTATAGACACCCCAACTCAATTCCATTTTCCATCAGTATTTTGGTCCCTAGTGAAGGATCTTGTGTGGTTTTCTTCTTTGACTTTTATTGGGTATTTAGATTGTCAGTTTTTCACTGTTAAAGAATTCTAAAGCAAGCATCTTCATGTAAAAACCTTTCTAAACGTACTATTTTGTGAGCCAGTTTGGTAGTTGGTAAAAGTTCAGGCTCCGTGTTAATGAGAAATGAATAAATAAAAGTGAAATTATTGTACATTTTCCTGGGTTCAACACCATCAAATTTTAAAATTTGCTTCTGTATAGCATCTGATCATTTCTCTTTCCTCTTTTATTGGCCTTTGCCTCCCACTTTAAAGATTCATGGACTTTTATAGTCAGAAAGAACATAAATGGTCAGTTATTTTCCTTATTTTAGAGTTGACTCTCAAAATGGTTTGACCAGGGCCAAACAGAAAATGAAATTGTAAGCCAGAAATGAACTCGGCTTCACCCTTTCCTCCCTTCCCCTCCTTCCTGAGGGCTGGCAGATGTATACTGCTGATAACTTTAAGTCTCCAGGAAAGAAGATTCTGCACCTTTTTTCATTTTCATATTTCATTTGTGCTTTTATGGCAGACAGATTGTTGCTTCTGAATAAGACTAGAAAATAATCTCTTTAATTGTGCCTACCTACACTAATAGCCAATGTCTCGCTTGTTGTTCTAGGAGCCATGTTTGACCAGGACAGTGGGCACTTTGGACCTATGCTGGAGGCTCTTGTGAAGAGATGAGTTGGTGAACTGAGAAGCCGGGATGAAGATGCTCCCAGGAGTGGGTGTGTTTGGGACTGGCAGCTCCGCTCGGGTATTGGTGCCACTGCTGAGGGCAGAAGGGTTCACAGTGGAGGCTCTGTGGGGGAAGACAGAGGAGGAGGCAAAGCAGCTTGCTGAGGAGATGAACATCACCTTCTACACCAGCCGGACTGACGACGTCTTGCTGCATCAAGACGTGGATCTGGTCTGCATCAATATTCCCCCTCCGCTCACCCGACAGATATCCGTGAAGGCTCTAGGTATGGATGGTCACGCTCTCACAGGGGCACACAGTATCTCTCGTTGGGTTGGACATAAGCTTCTCTTGAGCTATTGAGTGTAGACAGTCATGCTCTGGGGTATCACTCACCCCTGGAGCGGTGCTGAGGTTGTCTGTGTTGGGGCTTCTGTAACCATGAGAGGAGGTCTGCACCAGCAGCTGGGAGATGCATAGCCTTCCCACCGCCATCAGAAAATCCTTGCGCCAATGAAGGAAATAAGTCTGAAGAATTGTCCTGTCATGAGATTTCAGGGCAGTGTGGACTTTGTGCCTGTGAGGTCGTTTGAAAGCCATTGGCACTGGGAAATTGGTTGTGATTGTTCTTTTACTTCTGTGGCATGCAGGGAAGGAGGATTTGTAGCTGTCGTTTCCCCATGTTTGGTCAGCCCTGACTGCGGAGCACACACCCTTCCTGCCAGACTTTCCAATCTTATATTGCCAGAGGCAGGAAGACCTTTTCTAACAGGATCCATGTGACAGCGGTTTATGCCTCCTATTCCCTTGGGAAGCTCTAGGGTTCCACGACCTATTGGTCTCTTGGCTGTGAATAGTTTTCTGAACTGCTCTCCTGTGCCCTATAAGTAATTTCTTCTCTTTGCCTTTTATCCTGTGAGTGGTTCTGATTTATTTTACATGTATGTATGTATTTATATATATATATATACACACATATATATAATTTGTTTTGTGAGATGCCATCAACTTGACTCAGTGATCCTATGAACAATAAATCAAAACTACCCTATCCTATGTCTTCTTCACAGTTTTCTATGCTCAAGTCCATTTTTAGAGTGACTATATCAGTCCATCTCTTGCAGATCTTCCTCTTTTCCCAGCATATCTCTTTCCAAGGACTGGCTCCTCCTGACAAGATGTTCAGAGTCTGTTAGACGGAACGTCACAATCCTTACCTCTCAAAAGAGCACCTTGCTTGCATTTCCTCCAAGATAGATTTCTTTCTTCAGACAGTCCATGAGTTAGTTAATACTCTTCACCAACTCTGTATTTCAAAGGTCTCAATTCTTAAGTGATCTTCCTTATTCCTTATCCAACTTTCACATGCATATTTAGCAATTGAAAATACCATAATTTGGGTCGAAAACACCTTCGTCTTTAAACTGACACCCATGGTCTTCAGTCCTCTGAAGAGGTGTTTGACAGCCCGTTTGCCCAGGGTAACTTGTCTTTTGATTTCTTGACTGTTATCACCATGGATACTGACTGTAGATCCAGGTAAAATGAAATCGTCAACAACTTCAATCTTTACTCCATTTTATCATGTTGTTGCCTATTGATCCAGTTAGATTTTTAGAAATGTTATTTGTCACAAGTTGAATAAGAAAATACCAGTAAATGTTCATCTGGCAATAATTTTTTTTAATGCCTCCTGTGTACTAAGCACTATCTGGTGTCATTCTGGACATTGGCATTGAAAACAGTGTTGGAGCAGGGTCCTCCCTTCTTCTGGATCCCATAATCTAGGAGAAGATAGAGAATGGCTCTACAAGTTAAGTGACAAAAGACTTAGGTAGAATTTTTAATAATTTGTTTTTTCTAAGTGTTGGCCAGAAATTGCAGCTTGAGTCTCTTTTCTAACTCTCTATGTGAGAATAGCTCACTGAGCCTAGTCACTGGTCCCTCCATTCTTCTGAAGGCACATAAAGGTTTCTAGCTTGCCTTCAGGAGTAGAACTAAGCTAACATGTTAGAAGGCTAGTTCAGTAGGAACAGAACCTCCATGGGCACTTGACTTTCTGCCATTGTGGGTTTAATGCAGTTAGATGCTAGGGAGGTGAGGCGTCCAGAAACAGAGCTCTGGAAGTTCTGGTTCTTCCTGGATTTTAGACCCCCCCAAGGAGACTGCTTCCACGCTATGCAGGAAGGAAGAGGAAACCCCAGAGTTCTTTGGCCACCAGCTTGCTGTTTTCTGGTTTGGGTTGCTCATTGTAAACAAGAGGGGCCAGGGATGACCAGAGTCTCCTGGGATCTTGTGTGAGGCAGTTTTCTCCCAGTTTCTGCAGTGACAATAAAGAGTGAGTAGATGAGGGTCCTAGGTCTAGTCTTACAGATAGATCCATGATCCCAGAATCCAGAAGAGACCATGTTAGCTGGACCCACCCTCACACACTGGCCACTCGGGCCCCTAAGGACTCAGCAGCCTGTTTTGACTACGAAGTTCATTCTTCACGTGCTTTCAGTATTTATATTTAGTAAGACTTTCCACTTGACCTCAGTACAAAAAAGGAGAGGTCAGAATTTCTGTAGCGTTCCCACCACACTGGCCATAAATGCATGAACTGCTATAACTAGAGCACAGAACTGATACTGGCACCAGCCTCCACCTCTGGTCTTAGTTTTGTCCTCCTCAGTCTCTGTCTACACTTCTCACCTTTTTTGAGATGATACATGACTGACTGAGAAAGGCATTCATTGGAATCACATTCCAATGGGAAGCCAGGTTTCTAATTTTAGGCCAATTCTTTTAGGCTTCTACTCCATCAGAAGTTTTTCATTGTCACCTGAAGCCTTTAGTTAAAGTATCTTTTTTGCATTGTGCTGTGCTAAGCCTTGGAAAAGGCAAGCCATAGAGAGTGAGAAGCATCACTGTGAGGCCTACACCACCAGGTACATTTGCAGAGCTCAGGACATAGATGATGTAGACTGTTACTCTCCTGAAACTTTTCATGCCTTTTAAAATTACGTTTTTACTTCCCTCCTGAGGCTATAATTTTATGCCCTCATTCTTACTAGTTTCTCATAAAGTTAATTAATGAATTATCCTTCAGAGGCGTGCTTTTCTTATCATAGCTCTTTCTGTAGTACTTTTTTTTTTGGTACTGTTTTCTTCATGTATTCCTACCTCTGTCTATTCCTCTTTATCTGTTCCTATGGGGCTCTGATGAGCTAGTGGTAAGAAGCTGCACTCTAATCCCAAAGGCACACAGTTCAAATCCACCATCTGCTCTGGACATTTGCTACCTCAAATTCATCCTTAAAGCTTTTTCATTAATTTCTTAAAAGAAACTGTATTTATTTCCTAATGTACTTTCTTCGTTCAGAAGTCATTCAGAAAAATATATTTTATTGTGCAAAAGGCTCCAACATCCTTGCCACAGTTGAATGTTTTCTTGTATCTATCAGTAACAGGTGGATTTTTGTACCTAGTTCTTGGCACTTCTCTGCTTCATTAGAAAAGCACTTAAGTTTACCAGCTTTGTTTTTTATGGGCTCTTGAGTGAATAAAAGAGTATTCCTCAAGCCGCCCCACCTAGATAATCACAGCATAACCAGTCCTTTGGGAATCCTTCCCTGTCCTGTGGCCCAGGCCCACTGTCTGCTGTGTACTCTTTCAAGTTTCTGTGCCTGCCACCTTTGTTGCTTCCATCACAAGGACACTACATCTACTTGTATGATGATTTGATTAGTGACTAAGTCCCTCACTCAACTGTGTGTTCTCCAAGGGTGTAAACCTGCCCGATTTGGAGTCATAGGAAAATTTCTGTTCACTTATGTCAGAAATTAGACCCAAAAACCGTCTCAGGTGTTTGGCATGTGATCTGGAGAAGGACATAGTGGTTGGAAAAGTAGAATGTGCCCGGGAAACCCTGGTTGAGTGACAGCATTCCCAAGTATTACCCATCCACACACTCACCTAGCAGCAGAACCTTTTCCGTAAAAAAAAAAAAGGCTAAAGCCTCTGCATTTTATAAAACAAGTGAAAATGGTGCTGTTTAAAGGCTGATTCCCTATCCTGTTGCTTGAAATCCTGTGTGGTCCCATATCTCCAGGGTTCTCGGGCCCAGTGCTGTGAGCGTGGCTCCCCATGGTCTGCAGCAGCACTGGGCACTTTCTCAGAGCCTCTGGTATCCTGGGCATATCACTGCCAGGTAATGTTGGGGGTATGAGTCTTGCAATTTGAAACTTGTTCCCTCTATTGTTGTTTTGTGCTACTGAGTCAGAACTGACTCACCACTGACCCTTCAAGCAGGTTTTCAGAGGCTGTAAATAGCACAGGAGATTGCCCATTTTTCTCCCTCAAAGCAGCTGGTGGTTTCAAACTGTGTGCATTTGGGACTGTAATGCAGCTTCTTGCTACTAGCCCCCCAGAGCTCCATAGGAATAGATGAATAGAGGTAGGAATACATGAAGAAAATAGTAAAGAAAAATACAACAGAAAGAGCTATGATAAGAAAAGTATACCTCTGAAGGATAAATTCATCAGTGAATCTGAACTTCTTGCCTTTGGATTGATTGGTAGCACAACTCTACCCACTAGACAACCAGATCTCCCCTGTTCACCCACTAGAAAAATCTATAAGCTATTAAGCACTTGGCAGCCATGCTTTCTTCATTTCTGGCTGACAGCTGTCTCAGCTCCTGTAATTTGTCCTTTGACTGTCTAGTAGGAAAGCTACATGTACTTAACATAAACTCATCTTCAAAGCAACTCAAGTCTTCCTATATATACAAAGCCTGTGCAGCTGACCCACAAGAGCCTTTTAAACTCAGGATGCCCTTTAATTCCCATGTGGTCTTACTGCCGGACTCTCAGTTCAAAAGCTCTCCTATTCTTCAGGTTCAAGAAGAGAGCTCTTTGCCTCCTTCACCCCTAGTGACATGAAACAGGGGTTCTTTATTCTAGTTTTATCACTGTCCAACTCCCAGCATCCACAGAAATATTTTTCTTTTCCCACTCCGTCTCCCCTCCCCCGTACATTGTCCACCCCACCCAGCAATGAGCAGCGCCAGTAGGAAACTTCAGGAGTGACTGAGCTGTTTCTCATTTGGGGGGGGAGGTCATTGTCCAAACACCCAATTTACTGACCAGTTTACTGGTCAGCCAGATGTGTTTAGCAACCAGACAACCACATTTTCATCAAGTATGGGATTCTCCTGTCAGTTCTCATGGCATTCCACGCAGGAGGAAGCATTGGAGGCTCCCAAGATAGGAGGAGCTGTCAGAGGCTAATCGCCCTGCTGAGCCCCTTCTTCCTGGCCCCTCCTCAATGACCTTTCACCTCTTTTTGGCCATTCTGCCTGTCCTGCTCAACTCACACTGCTCTCTGCACTGCTCTCTGCCCTGGGCATGGGACTCATGGCTTGCCATTCTCCTCTTCTGCCAACACCTGTTGTAAAGTTTTCATTATTATTTAGAGAAGAGTGGGAGATTAAAGAGTTTTGTAAACAGAAGTAATATTATAGGCTACTGATATATGTGTGTTCCTTGCTGTGTTTCTCCTTCCTACAGCCCTGGGGGGGTTGTGCACTGTATTGGGAGCTCAGGTCTGAGACTCTTGGACGTGCAAATGGCAAGTGCTTTCTGCAGTGCTCGCCGGTCAGGGTGGCAGGTGTGGTGGTGAAGGAAGTGAGTAGCTGGAATGCCCCGCCAAGGCACCAGATGATCTCAGATGGGCTGGTCAGCTTCCACAGGGCAGGGCTGAGTTGAACTCCAGGAGAAGCTTGATAAACAATACTACATACAATAAGGAAACATCATTGTTCACATTGGATTTAAAACTTTAAAAAATCAAATGTTCAAATACTGAATGTGCAGGCAAATGTAACTTCTATGTGATTTTTAAAATCAAAACACAGGCCTTTTTTCCCTGAGTATTATGTCTACTCAGTTTCTAAGAGATGAATTGCCATAATGAACTCAGGTATATTAGAGATGATGAGGATGGCACTGGGTAGGGCCGGGGTCATAGCCATTATTCATGAGGTCGCTAATGAGTCATCATCAATTTGACAGCACCTAACAACAATCTCCACTTTGCTGATGGTAATAAAATGTATCATTGGCAGAGCTGTGTGGGGTGGGGCAGTACAAATACCACCTCGTTTGACCGAGGATGGAGATGTCTCCTATCTAAGATTGTAGTCAACCAAAGCACAGAGAGGTTGAGGAATTGCCTGAGTCACTCAGCAAAGAAATGCGGGAGCCAGGCTTGGAACCCAAAATACCTGTCTCAAAGGCTGAAGATCAGCACCAGTAACTGACTCTTCCTGGGCATTCAGCTTAGATGCTAGGACCCATCCATCCTGTGAGGTCTTGATGGTTTGTATAAAATATTCTTAGGGTTGTTTGGGTTTGTGTGTGTGTGTGTGTGTGTTGAAACAAGTATTACTTTGTAATGGCCGTTGTTGAGTCCCCTCCCGAGTCTGTGAATAAGATCCACCGGAGTCTCTCTGGAGAAGCTGTACGCTGCCAATAGAAATTACCTGCTTTATGGTCCCATCTGAAAGCACTTGGAAGCCTTGCATGGGACCAAGAGCATGAAAATAGAAGTGCTGGCAATGCACGAACCCAGGGACGGCACCATCTTCCTCTGGTTCCCCTCAGATAGCATCCAGGCTGCTGGTCAACCAGGAACGGCAGTGGCGTTTAGGAGTAGAGCCTGGGCAGCCCTATGGGAAGGCCCAAATGCTTAACATGGTCTTTAGCTAAGAGAGTAAGGCCCGATAGAATCCAGCCCAGGGTTCCATGCCCTCACTACCTCAGTGGAGCCCAGTCTGCCTTTCTGCCTGGCAATTCTCAGCTCACCTTTAGGAGCTAGAGCAGAACAAACAAGGAAAGGACCATAATAATTAAAAAAGAGAATAAACATTTTGGAAGGTCATATATAGCCTCTGTAAGGGCTTTGGTTTTAATTCTGAATGGCCTGAGAAGAGACTAGGATCTACTCCATCTTAACTCTTAACAGAACTCCCTGGCTGTTATTGAGAAGAGGCCAGGGTGAGTGAGGGCAGAAATAGGGAGATCAGGTTATCGCAGCCCCTTCAGTAACACAGGCAAAAGCAATCCCCTGTCAGGATACCCTGGTCCCCACTTCCTCTCCCAGAACTCTTGCTCCCTCATGTCACTCCCACCGGCAGAACCTCTTTCACCAAACGTGAGTCTCTTCTCTCAGAAAGCCCACAGCTTCTTAAAGAGATTTGGGCGAGTGGAGTTGGGGTTGCTCACCATGGGCATTGCCTGTAGAATGAGTAATGGGATAACGAGGTCTTTTCACCCCTCTCTAGCTTGCCGTAACACTGTACACTTAGGTATATGACTAGTTCATAACATTTAATGAGCTTTATACATTTTCTGTTTAAAGGTATTAAAAGGAGTAAGATTTGTTTTCATTTCAGCTACCTAAGTGTCATGGGGTGCCTCAGGTCTTGGTGTCTGTGACTGCCCGTTTCCCTCATGAGCACTGGCTTTTTTTTTTTTTAATTTGAAAATGAAGTATTTTATTCCACTGAGATTATCATAATGATAGACTCTTTTTTTTTTAATTTAGGTTGTTTATTTTTCATTTCAATGAACATCTACAGAGATTTTGGGATTCCATTCATTCATTGTTGCACCCTTTTCCCCGCACAAACCCCTCCCCCCTCCCCCCCCAGCACTGGCATTTTAATCTTGTTTCTTTCCATCTTTATCTAGCTCTTGTCCCTCTTTTGAATGCATTCCAGTTGCAATGTATGGGCAGAAAGGATGTTTTCACCACCACCATCCCTACCCCCTGAGGGGTGCTGAGCATTTTCAGGCCTTTTGTGCACATTAGCTTGTTGGACCAGAGTTTTCAGAGAACAGCCTGTGCATCACCTTAGAACCCTTTCTGGAGCTCTGACAGTGCAGAGCCCATCACTTTAGAATAAATATTTATACTTTGGCCCCGAACGTGTCTAGCTAGTCCATAAAGACGTGGAAGCACATTGGCCTCTCTCTGACATCTCTTTCCCTCCTGCTGTTTGTATTATCTGCTTCTGCAGGTTTTCCCCTTAAGAATTTCCCTGTTCTTCAGCCCCTATTTCTTCAGTTCCAGTTATAAGAGCTGTTTGCAGTTGAGGCTGAGGCACCGTGCCTTCTCCCCAAGGCTACCTTCTGGTTCCACAGGAGGTGTTCATGAATCCGTCTGCTTTGGAGAAATGAGTTTTGTTTTTCAGTTTCCCCAGTGCCGTCCCTTAGGAGGGAACTCAGGTGGCCTAGTAGTAAGAAGCCGTGCTGCAATCCCCAAGGCACACGGTTCACATCCACCAGCTGCTCTGCAGAAGGATGGGCAGTCTCCTCCCGAGCAGTTTACTGCCTTTGGAAACCCACCGGAGGGGCAGCTAGGGGTCAGTTCTGACTGGACAGTACACGGCAACAACAGCAATCCCTGAGGAATTTTAAGATCTATTGTCTTATTCTCAGGTATTGGGAAGAATGTGGTGTGTGAAAAGGCAGCAACCTCAGTGGACGCCTTCAGGATGGTGACGGCCTCGCGCTATTACCCGCAGCTGATGAGCCTGGTGGGGAACGTGCTGCGCTTCCTGCCCGCCTTCGTGCGCATGAAGCAGCTGATCGCAGAGCACTACGTGGGTGCGGTGATGATCTGTGACGCCCGCATCTACTCAGGCAGCCTGCTCAGCCCCAGCTACGGCTGGATCTGTGACGAGCTCATGGGTGGTGGAGGCCTGCACACCATGGGCACCTACATTGTGGACCTGCTCACTCACCTGACTGGCCGGAGAGCGGAGAAGGTGCATGGCCTGCTCAAGACCTTTGTGAGGCAGAATGCAGCCATTCATGGCATCCGGCACGTGACAAGTGATGACTTCTGCTTCTTTCAGATGCTCATGAGCGGGGGAGTGTGCAGCACAGTGACACTCAATTTCAACATGCCAGGTGCCTTTGTGCACGAGGTCATGGTGGTGGGCTCCGCAGGACGCCTCGTTGCTCGGGGGGCTGACCTGTACGGGCAGAAGAACTCTGCCACACAAGAGGAGCTGCTCCTGAGGGACTCGCTGACGGTGGGCACAGGGCTGCCTGAGCAGGGACCACAGGATGTCCCCCTGCTGTACCTGAAGGGCATGGTGTACATGGTACAGGCCCTGCGCCAGTCCTTCCAGGGCCAGGGGGACCGCCGCACGTGGGACCGGGCCCCTGTTGCCATGGCTGCCTCGTTCGAGGATGGGCTGTACATGCAGAGTGTGGTAGATGCGATCAAAAGGTCCAGTCGATCTGGGGAGTGGGAGGCAGTGGAGGTGATGACAGAGGAGCCCGATGCCAACCAGAACCTGTGTGAGGTGCTCCAGCGGAATAACCTGTGATTCTTCACGAGGGTTTCCTGCCGTGGGGCACAGAAGCCAGGAGGGGGACCAGGAGCTGTGGCCATAGCAGCAAGGGGGCTTTTGTTTTATCCGATGTGCTGGTCTGAGTGAAGCCTTAGGTGAGCTTGGGCAAATAGCCCTACTGTCCCCTCATTTACCCCTCAGAATGGGCGGGCAGGGGATGTTCTATTGCATAGGCCAGTACGTTGTATAAAGGGGGTGCTGCCACTAGGTCTCTCTCTGATCACAGCTGGGGAGTTGGGCCCACAAAAATGTGACTTGTGGGCTGCTTCTGCCTGATTTGTGGCCCTAAGAGTCTGAGAAAGCAGACAGAGCCATCCTGACTGATGAGTCAGCTGAGGAGAAAGCAGCAGCCTTGTTGCCGAGCCTCTTCTCAGCTGGGCAGTGCATCTTGCCTGCCCTCAGGGATCCTCCCCTGCCCTCCGTCCTCCCAGGCCCTCAGGCTTCCAGGCTGTCCCTTCTGGTGCACAGAAGACGCCTTCATTAGATGAGCTCTCAGGGGCTGTTGACAGGACCCTGATTTGGCAGACAGAAAGTCAGGTTTAGAATATCTGAAAAATGTCAATAAAGTCAGAGAATATGACCTCACAGCATGTGACTTTGGTTTTTGTTTGTCTAGTAGGTTGGGATTTTCTCTTTAATGGTGAAAGGCTTGTTTACTGCTGTAGATTGGAATGTCTCTCCTCTGGCTCTTCAGCAGCTCTGAGGCTGGCCTCGACTCATCACTGGCCAGTGGGCACCTCTGGCTGCTACCCTCCCATCACTGTGCTTATTCCTGAGGATCCCTTCAAATACATAGTTCCTTAGAGAGCAAGACCCCAGACTTCCTGAAGGGGCCCTGTGGGGCCTGCTCATTTGGGGCAGGGTGGTTTGAGACCTTTGGAGCATGAAGTGAGCAGGGAATTCTCTTTCTGAAAACAGCACCAGGAATCTCAGAGAGAGAGATGAGATGAGATGTACTGGAGGGAATGGGTTCGGAGTGAAGGCTTGGAGCAAGTTTAGCCAAAAGATGCCTGCCCCGGCCAGCCAGCCATCATCTTTCTGTGAGCCGTGACCACACAGTGCGGGCCTTTTCACCATGAATGTCAGATGTGTTAAAAGAAGACACTTTAGTCCCTTTTGCTTCCTTGTCTGACTTTGCCAGCCTGCTAGGATTGTTATGCCTGGATCAAACTCTATCCTTCTGTAACCTTCCCTCTCTGCTCTGCCCTGGGCTCCTTGCCACAAAAGCAGAGGGAGGGCTTCCTTTTCCTCTTGGTAATCCTTATAGAAGTCACCAGGCTTGTTTTTCTGTATTGTCCTGGTTTTACGTAAGCATTATCCTTTTGAGATAAAATAACAGTGAGTAATGTTGGACTGTTTACTGCTTGGTGAGTCCCCTAGGGTAAACTCATCATATGCTTTATTCTAATCTCTAAATATTCTTCAATATTACCAATAATCCCACTGTTCATCTAAGGAAACTGAGTCACAGTGGGCCAAATTGTCTTATCTTCTGTAAGATAAAAGTGATGGAGCTAAGACTGAGTCAGAACCTCCTGTCCACAGAGCCTGCCTCTGAACTCCTACCTGTCCAGCTCTTGTGAATCCTCGCACTGCCCATGCATTGCCCTTCCTGCTCAGCTCCTCGTCCAGACCGGTGCTTTCTCCTTGAAGCTGCAGCAGCAGCCTGGCCTGAGCTAGACTCCAGAGAGCTTACCTCCAAGCCAGAAGCTGCCACAGTCAAGATAGAGGAAGTGGCTGCATCTTTGCTGCTGGGATGGCAGCTCCAGATCCGACCCTGGCATCCTACTAGGTCCCACCTAAATTTGAGAACTGAACCAGAAAACAACAGATATCCATTGGACCTAAGGGCCACGTTGATGTCCCTGAATGGAACAGGCTTTAGTGCCATCTGGCACCAGCATTTTGTTTATAAGATCCCTCAATGTCCTGGGGCAAACTTCATGGCTTAGTGCAGGGTCACTTTTATGAGCACCCCAGTCCTCTGGTTAACACCCCTGGAACCAAAGGTCCAGGCTTGTCCTGCAACGCCCCCTACTGGAGGAAGGCAGAATCACCGTCTAGAATGCATTTCTCAAATCATAAGCTATCAGCCCCTGGTCAAAAGTAAATAGGCTTTACAGGTCAATGAAAGTGAAGTAAAACTTTTATGTTTTCTCTGATGCTGCAACTTTAAATCTAGGGTTTGTACTCAGCTTCCTGTCCAAAGTCTCTACCCTTCACACTGAGGCACCTTTTCTTTTTTTCTTCTTTTTATTTTAGTGGGGGTGTGTGTGTGTGTGTGTGTGTGTGTGTGTGTGCGCGCGCACGCGCGCGCCTTCAAATCAGATCTGACTGGTACAGGAGGAGATTACCCCTCCTTTCCCAGCAGAGCATCTGGTGGATTCGAACTGCATACCTCTGGGATTGCAGTGCAACTTCTTGCCCCTAGGCCACCAGAGCTCCCTATGAAGCACCTTTTCTACAGTACATCAGGTGGAGATCCCTTCTTACCTACATTTCCTGCCAGAAAGCCACAGATAGCCCTAGCACTTTGGGACAGTCAGATGAACTCTGCCATCTCACAGCAGGGATTCCTCTCTGCCATCTCACAGCAGGGATTCCTAAGTGTTGGTCCCCAAAGGTTGATCAGATCCAACGGAGGCTACCGCCTTGGGAGACAGCATAGCCAAGCCCCTGTTTCCCATGGCCTGACTGTAGACGCTCTGCCCCAAGTCTCTCCTTGTTCACCATTTCTCTGTTTTTTCAGTCTATCTGACCCTCAGATTCATTGGGAGAGCTTACACAGAACCTAGGCCCTATCCCTCAGATTCTGCTTCAGTGAAGTCTGTCTGGCTTCCCAGGAATCTGTATTTTTGTCATGTTCTCAGGTAATCCAGATGACCAGGTATTCAACTGTGCACTGAGGAATTTCACACTCAGAAAAAGTTTATTGTCAACAAAGTGCTCACAAGTGGGAGAGCCCCCATCCACCCAAGGATCTAGGCCCAGCGGCTGCTGCGTACAGGAAGAGAGGCCACCAGTGGGGCCAGTCACCTGTACTGAGGAGAGAGTGGGGGCACAAGTGGGGCAGCGCAGACACTCAGCATTTTGTCAATGTCCACCTGAGTTGATTTATCCACTTCAGCCTTGGGCCAGCAACTGACCCCCAGGCTGGGTAGACCCCCAGACTCTACTCTAGCCTCCTCTGCCAGGGGAGCCAGAATGTGGGTGGGGGGAGCTAACATTTGGGTGCAGGGCAAAACGAAGCCTGAGCTTGTCTCACCTGCCATAGGCAGCAAGGCATGCAGTTGCTCCGCTGCCTTTGCCTCCTTGGGGACCTGGGCCTGCTCTGTCTCAGGCTCAGCATCTCTGTCCATGTCCCCTGCTTGGTTCAGCTCAGGGTTGCAATAGTTGATGTACTGGTACAAGGGCCGCAGGCGCTGGGCCTTGCCTGCAAGGAGGAAGGATAGGGCAGTGCTAGAGCACCATGGGTCATGAGGGAGACAAGAAGCCAAGGGAGAAGGGGGAAGCGCAGAGTGCCACTCACGCTCCAGCCCCAAGATCTCCGATGGGGTTGATGCTGTACTGACTGCAGGTGGGAGCGCTGGGGCCCCCTGACTCTTGCGCTTCTTGGCCTTTTTGTGCTGTTTGACAGATGAGAGCTCACTCTGGCTGCTGCCTAGCTCTTCCTTCTGGAGTGTCAGTCCCCCTGGCCTCTCAGCTTCAGTCCTAGGATGGACATAGTGACCAGTCCCTGAGAATCCAAGGGATGAGCTATGAGCAGGAGCCCTAAGGACCCTAAGTGCAAAGCCAAGGGGCTTGCCCTTCCTGCCCACCACCCAGGGCCAAATATCTGCCCTTCCCTGGTCCTGAGGCCCCAGGATGGCAGAGGCCCAAAGCTCACTTGCTCAGTGCCTTCTAAAACTTGCACCCTCCTCCATGTTCTCTGAGAGACTGAAAAGGGGAGATGGGAAAGGGGGCCCTTTACATTCCTAAAGGCTTTAGAGATCCCCTGAGGGTGAACCTCACTTGGCAGGCTTCCTCTTCACACTGTGGCTGGGCCGCCCAGTGAGCGGTAGAGGCCTGGGGGTCCTCTCTTCTGGAGTCCCCACCTCTGGCTTCAGCCTTTCCTGGAGCTCTAGCTCCAAGGCCGGTTCTGCTGGGCACTCATCTTCTCCCTGGGTCTGGCAGGCTTCACAGGCTGGCACTGGACACTGGCCTTGTGTCACTGAACACTAGAGGTGACACAGGTTATTGGTCACCATGGCCATTAATGATCAGATCATTAAAAGCCAACATTAGACAATGATGATTGGGGGGGCCTATAGCCCTTCCCACGCTTGGAGCTGGCCCTGGCAGTTAAGAGGGTCAGAGAGATCCAGCGGTCTGTCCTCTGAATATAGAAGCCAAGTATTTGAAGGTCAGAAAGCTTGACCCAAAGGTCACCTTAGAGTTCTGGTTGGGGCCAGCTGGTGTCTCTGCAAGCAATACTGGCCCCACAGTGATCTCCTCTTGGGCCCCGGGCCCTCTCTTGGTTCCTGCTGAAGTCATGGATTTGTGGGGGTCAGCGCATCCCCACGGCGGCTGTGTGACCCCCGCAAAGGGCCCGTCTGGCAAATCTCACACAGACTCCTGGATGTGCTGGGCAGAGTGGAGGCTGGTCCACCCCACCTCAGCTGGGACTACAAGCCCCAGAAGGCTTTGCACTGGCAACACTGACCCCTAACCTTAGGGACGGAAGCCACTGTTGCCTAGCAACAACGTACTCAACTCACCGGGGCCTCTACCAAGGGCAGAACGGCTTCTGTGAGACCCCCTGCCCGGGGACTGCGGGGGAGGGGCCACGATCAGAGGCTGCGGGAGCGGTGGGCGCGGGCCGGGATTGGGGGGCCGCCCTAGGTCGGGGTCTGAGTGGAGGGGGAAAGTGCGGGGCTGGAGGAGAGTTTGGCTCCGGGGGTGCGCAGCCAGCGCGCCTCGGTGCACATTTGCAGGGCGGCGACATGTGTGAAGGCCCTTCCCGCATCTCGGGGCCCATTCCCCCGGATCCTACCCTCTGCCCCGACTACTACCGACGGCCGGCGTCGGGTGAGTGCGGGTGGCCGGGGCAGGGCGGGGACGGGACAGCCCCGCGCCCCACTGAGCCCCGCGCTCTGTCCTGGCCCGCCCCTCAGCTCTAGGGCGCCTGGAGGGAAATGCGAGCCAGCTGGACCTGCTGACCTCCGACCCAGACCTGGGCGCTGCCCCACCCCGTCGTCCGCGCATCGGGCCTGGAGGCCGAGAGATCCTGGAACGTGGCCGGCGCGGCGTGGGCACTGTGCTGCTGCAATTTGGGGGCATTTCCTTAACCCCGAGGGCCTCACCAAAGAGTAAGTCCCGAGGGGAAAAGAGGCAAGCTGGAGGTTAGAAGTGGAGAGCAGCCAGCTCCTTCTTCCCTAACCCGTGTCCAAGTTTTTAACTCTCTGAGGTCCAGTTACCCCAACAATAAACAGAAGTAAAACCACGCACTACCTCCTCTTAGGAAAGAACTGAATGCGGTGGTGCCTAGAAAGCCTTAGCTTCATGCATTTATCCATCAAAGCAGCCTTGTTTATTTGGCTGGTGTGCCAGGCTTTATGGGTGCTGGGCAAGCTGAGTTGACGGCAACCATCGTTAATTGTGAGTCAAGGTGGGAAATAACAAACAAGCTAAGAGAAGAGGTCAGGAATATACAAGATGATTAATGGTATACTTCACAATAAAAATGTAAAAGGTAATCAGGCATAGAAGATTGCTATGTAATGAAGGAAGCATCCTCCACTGAAGTGGAGTATGTGTGTAAGATCTAACTTAGGTGGAGAGACCAGAAATATTTTTCTGTAGGAAGAAGGGTGTGAGCCTGTGAGAACTGATCTGTATTGGACCGAATGGGCTGTGCATAGGACAGGGCCTGGCAGCATCTCTTCCCTCCAGGGAAGGACCCTAAAGACCATGAGAAGGAGAACCTGAGACGGATCAAGGAGATACAGAGGCGCTTCCGGGAGCAGGAGCGCAGCCGGGAGCAGGGCCAGCCCAGGCCTCTGAAGGCTTTGTGGCGATCACCCAAGTATGACAAGGTGGAGTCCCGGGTCAAGGCCCAACTGCAGGTATCTGCCTTGAGGAGTGAGGAGCATTGCTCATCTTGTTGATCAACATGCAGTTATATCCTGATCTAGGTTATGGGAACGGACAGGGCACTTAAGTAACAGATGACTAAGACACCTAGGCCTGCTGCAGGGTGGGGCTTGGAGCCTCCTCATAAGTGATCATGGTTGGACTGATCCTGAGGGACTAAAACTAAGAAAGAAGAATGGATGAGAACATCCCATGGAGACACAATCTCAGAGTCCAGAGGGAATGTGGGCAGTGGGGCTTTAATTCACTGGGAGGAGAAAAACACTAGTTGGGCTGAAATGTCAGATGAACCCTCACCATAAAGAACCACACAAACCAGAAGGTCACAGTGGAGCGTGGGAGTTGGGTTGGTCTTGGGTAGATAACCGTTCCAGGGACCTCAGGAGGAGGAGCAAGGTTGAGATAAGATCTAATGTGGATATGCCAAGGCCAGAGGATTTGTGGGGCTGCCCAGGGGCACAAGTGTGTCCAGGAAGCAGATGGATATTCAGGAAAAAGACTCAGAATTTTCCCCCAAACACTGCTATTGAGTCAATTTCAACCCACAGTGACCCTGTAGGACTAGAACTGCCCAATTCCAAGAAGAGTCTTTACACATCTGGTGAGGTCAAACTAGCAGCCTAGGGTATAACCACTATACCACCAGGAAACCTCAGATCAGACGTTACTGCTGATCAACTTGAGGATGATGGGACCAAAAAAGTGAGTCCTGGATTTGAAGGTTGCCGGTCAGTGACCCTAAGGGGCCAGCGCCAGTAAGTTTGACTAGGAAAAGAAGAAAGAGTAATAGCGTGGGCCAAGACTGACGTTTAAAGAGTGGCAAATTGTTTTCTTAAATATGTGTGATGCATGTTTAAATACTGATGAGATGCGTCCTTTCAAGAGAAAAAGTCCACAAGGATGAGGATAGAAAGGTCTTGAGAGGCAGGAGAAAAGAGCACACAGTTTTGTGGCTTAAGTTCCTGACCTCTGACTGACTCTCTGCTGTGCCCTGTCCTCCAGGAGCCTGGCCCTGTGTCTGCGACAGAGCCTGCCCACTTCCTGAGGGCACACTCCCGCTGTGGCCCTGGGCTCCCACCACCCCGTGCCCCCAGTCCCCAGCTCACCCCACCAGATCCCAGTGCTAAGGTGAGAATATATTGTGAGAACTGGAAGGCTGGGCATATGTTCAGGAGGGGTTCTCAGAGGCATACCTGAGTGCTGTCTGCCTCGTGCTTGCCATTCCCACAGGGTCCAGGCCTGGGAGTGGACTTCATAAGTCACAATGCCCGCACTGCCAAGAGGGCTCCCCGGCGGCATTCTCGCTCGATGCAGGTCCTGGCACAGGTGTTGGAGCAGCAGCGGCAAGCCCAGGAACACTACAATGCCACGCAGAAAGGCCACGTGCCTAATTAGTAGGTCCCTAAATGAGGAGCACCTGTTAGGGTGGTAGCCAGCCTCTGCCCAGGGGTCATCAATCCTGAGTCTGTGCATTTGCAGCTTGTTAGAGCGCAAGGATTTGTGGCGGCGGGAGGCCGAGGCCCGCCAGCTCAGCCAGCCAGACCCTGCCTTGCCCCCTGGCCACACTCGGATGCCCGAGAACCAGCGGCTGGAGACACTGAGTTCTCTGCTCCAGAGTAAGCATTTGGGTAAGGGGATGAGAACCCACTGGCGCCCACGCACCCCTGCCCAGCCCTCACTGTTTCTGGGGTCTTCTGTAGGCCAGAACCAGCTTCTTCGTGAACTGGTGTTGCTGCCTGCTGGGGCCGACTCACTGAGGGCTCTTGGCCATCGTGCTGAGCTGGACCGGAAGCTGGTGCAAGTAGAGGAAGCCATCAAGATCTTTTCCCGCCCCAAGGTCTTTGTGAAGATGGACACCTGAGGACCTTTGTTTGAGGGTAGTGGCAAAAGCCTGGCAGAATCCCATACTGAGGATTGCCACATGGCTGCAAAGGGCAGGGTCGGGCCCTGTCACAGAGTGGAGGTCTGAAGGCAGGAGCAGGAGGGTGGCCAGTACTCCCCGGTGTACATGTCCTGGACACTGCTGGCCGCCAAAGAGCTAGCACAACAGCTTCCTCTTCCTCAAAATTAAACATTTTTACACAAATGAACTTACTTCCATAAGAGCTTTTCTTGCCTTAAAAATGCCAAGTCTAGTGGCTGCTCAAATGCAGGAAGGTTTTTCCTGCAGCTTTCATTACTCCAGCCTCATTTCTAAGATGGAGGTGGCTGTGGGACCAGAGAGGAGGAGGATCCTAGGACACAGAAAGACCATGACTGCGTTTGTAGAAAACTTTTAATGTTCCCCATGCCGAGAGGGCACTGTGAGCAAGCTAAAATCTCAACCAGGGCAGTTTCTGCCACACCCCAGCAGCTTGGAGTGGCAAAGTGGGTAAGTCCCTGCCTATCAGAGGCTGAAGCCACTGCCATCTCCTCGAAGGCTATTCCCCCAGCCTGAGCTGGCCAGCTCTCGGTCATCCAGGGAGGGAAGAGAGCTGCGAGCACCAGCAGGCAAACGACTGGGGCGCTGGTTCCAACATGGGAGTCCTTGGGACAAGCCATTGGAACAAGGAGGGTGACGGTTCTCTAGAATCAGGTCACTGTTGTCATCGTCGCTGTCAGGTTCAGGCAGCCCAGGCCGGGCAGAGGGAGGCCCTGTCAGACGCCCAGATGCTCCCCGCACCACGTTATTTCGCTGGTTAGCAGGCTTGACAGTGATGATGAGGTTGTGGCTGTTGGCCACCATCATGTCTGTCACCTGATCCAAGGTCTTCCCAGCCACTTCAATGCCATTGACTTCAAGGATCTCATCACTGACCGCCAGCAGCCCTGTACGCTCAGCCAGGCCCCCACGTACCAGGCGTGAGATAAAGATGCCTGGGACCCGCTCCAGGCCCTGGGGAGACACACGAACACTCATGCCATCTCGGATGTAGAAGCCTAGAGGGCGATCAGAGCCATGTTTGTGCAGCCGCACCCTCCGGTGAGTCTCAGGCAATAGGTCCACATCTATGACCGAGGAAACCTGGCGGAAATCTTGAGGCAGGCTGATGAGCAAGGGTGGCCTGGTTCGAAGAGGTGCCACTGGCCGCAGCAGTAGTCCTTTCTTTCGCCGCTGCAGGGAGTTGGAGGCAAAGGCCAGACCACTGGAGTCAGCTTCTGCTATAGGAGACAGGACGTTGAGTTCAGAGACCCTGATCTACTTGTGCCCTTTTCTACCAAGCCCAGACCTGAACTGGAAGTCAGGCCAAGGGCAGGGACTGCAGTGAGTGAGGCCTAAGGGCCGTGAGTATACATTAACCTTTGTGGGCAAGAGGAGTTGTACCCTGACACCTTTCCCCACAGAGGTTGCCTCCCCAGCCCATCTTCTCTCCCCCTCACCCCGCTTCTGCACCAGCAGGCGCAGTGGTGGGGGCCCGCTGGCCAGGGCCCGGTACAGGGTGTCGTCGTTGGTGAGGGGCAGCAGGTCGCCGTGAGCATCCGTATAGCCGAGCAGCACGTCCAGACCTGGGATCTGGTGCACCGTACGCAGCAACCGCGAGAACTCCTGGAAGCCGCTCACCGAAGCACGGGGCAGCGCGAAGCGGCGGAACTCGGCATCAAACTGGAGGCCAGAGTAGGGGGAAGAGGAGGGATCAGGCAGGAGCCCGCGCCGCTTTCTCACCTCAGAACCAAGGTGGTGGACAAGACCAGGCAGCTGACACCGCAGCAGTCTGGAGCCCAGCCCTCCGCGCCAGCAAAGAGACAGACGCTGTCCAAGGTCTTGTCCCCGCCCTCCAGGTACCCAGGCCACAGGAGGACTCTGGAGCCCAGCCGTGGAAGGAGGTAAGATGACTGAGGAAAGGCGAGTAGAATAAAAAAGAAACAGCCAACCCAAGAGAATGGAGCATGGGTGGTGGTGGAGGAGAGAAAGGTGATAGAGACCAAGGAGCTGGGAAGAGGAGCTGGTCAAGGGCCGCGGCCGAAGCCGGGGCCAAGGGACCCTTACTTTGCTCTTCACCTCGACGATGCTGTCGGGACTGCGCGCAGGGGTCCTCTGCAGCCTGGCCATGGCGGGGCCGGGCGGGCCGGGGACGGTGCCCCAGGCGGCCCGCCGTGGTGCAGGTGCACAGCCCGGCCGGCCGGCCCGTGACGCCCCGCCCCGCCCGCCAGGCTAGCGTTCGCTCCGCCCTCCCATCCGGACCATGACGTCACCGGGCAGCGACGAAGGGTAATGCGGAGTCCTGGTTTCCTAGGAAACTGGGAAGGGACTCTGTCTTACGTCATTACGCTACACGAGTCACGTCCTCCCCACCAATCAGAGGAAAGGGTGAGAATACTATTTATTGAACACTAATCCCTCAGGGTCACACCTCACCCAAGTGGCTTTGGCCCATTTCGATTGGGCCAACTTGGCCGTAGCCTCTGGGCGAACCCTTGCTCCCTTCCTAATAGGACCAGAACCCAGCTAACCGAACAGTTTCTGCGCAGGTCGCGCTGTGCGCACGCGCAAGCATCCTCACGGGCGGTGCCCCGCTTGATCCCGCCCAATAGTCGGGCGCTTCCTTTTCCGCCGGGGGGGGCGGGGCCGCAGCGCCCGCGGGAAAAATCGGGACGAACTTGGCTCTTATGGCTGCGGATACGGAGGATTCGCTGAGCCTAGACCTGCAGCCATGGATTCGAGAGCTGGTCCTGGCGCCGGAGGAAGCCTCTGGTTCGCGGATAGGGCAACTGCTCGAGGTGAGCTCTTCCCCACTGCCCAGATCCGGAGACCAAGGCGGGGGCCTGTAACAGTAAGATTGACGTGGGTCGCCACCGCCAGGTGCTTCAGGAGGCAGAGACTCCAGACCCATCCTGCGCCCCCGACATGTCTGATGTCTGGTCTGTGTTGCTTGTGTCCGACGGGACACACGCTATCCGATGCCTGTTGACGCGAAAAGCCATGGACACCTCCGACTGGTAAGAAAATCGCTGCGGGGCCAGCAGCAAGGGGTGAGGCTCGAACCCGGGGTAGGAGAAGCTGGTGGTGCGCGTAACTAGGCAGTGAGGGTCCTCCTCACCACAGGGAGAAGGAATTCGGTTTCCATGAGATGAAAGGTCGATTGCTGGTACTGAATGACTTCGGGGTGCGAATCCAGGTGGCCGAGCGCGGCGCAGTGAGTAACTAAGCTGCCCTGGGCAGGTTTCGGGTCTTGGTTCTGCCTAAGATCACCTGAGAATCGTTCCTGAACTCACCTGTCCAGGCCTCCGAGTTCTACCTCCAGGTAGATCGCTTCAGCCTGCTTCCTGAAGAGCTGCCTCTGGAGTTGGTTGCTAATTGGTAAGTGAGGCCCCCCGCTACCCTCCATCTGCTGTTTTCTTCACGGCCTCCTTAGCACAGGCAAGGGCCTTGAGGTGTGTTTTTAAGGAGAGGACCTGGGTCCCCAATAACAATAACTGCCAACCCTCGCCCTTCTTCCCCTCAGCAACCAGGACCGAGATGTTCAGAAAAAGCTCCATGAATGCCTCGAGTGAGTGTGGGCTTGGGCTCCAGGGCCCATGCTGGGTAGGAGGACAGTACATCTGGATGGACAGGCCTCTGGATTATTCCTCAGGCTTGTGTACTCTGTTCTGCAGGGAGCACCTGTCAGAGCCCACCTCTCCCGACACAGGTACTAGTGGGAATTGGCCAGTGACCTTAACTCTCTAGCCATTCCCTCCTATCCCTTAAAAAGCTTTCTTCCCCGTCTGTGCTACTGTTTGCTCATTATTAGGAGCTTTGCTTATCCCCTGATTTTCTGCCCCCAGACATGACACTGTCCCAGCTTCTGAATGAGGTGGAGGAGGACCAAGAGCATCCGGATAGGCAAGTGTGCCAGGCTGAGAATTGCCTGATGCTGGCCGGCCCTGGAACAGCACCCCAACTGACTCGCTGGGCTGCCTTACGCTGCAAGTTCACGGTCAGTATGGGCTTTCCCTTGAGAAATGTTTGAATGAAAAAAAAAATGGCAAGTGCCAGGCTGAGAGGTTGTGGTCCACAGGGTGAAGCTGTGTACTCTGTTCCCGGTCCATGGCTGCACATCTCTAAGAATGAACAAATAATCCTGAACTTTGCCAGGCAAGGTCAGAAGGCATAGGGTAAAGGGGGCTTGAGAGGTTAAAGAGAATTATGTGAGTCACAGGGCCCCCAATTGTTGATAACCTTCCTCTAACCTGCTAGGCCCTGACCTGCTCTCACCAGACTCATCTCTGCAGGATTTATCTCTGACTCTGACTTCCTCCTCTTCTTCCTCACCCAGTTCCACAGGTGAGGCTTTCTGACCACAGAACTCCATGCTGTCACTCAGGGTCCTGAGCCGCACAGCATGCTTTGAAGGCATATAGGGGCTGAACGTAGTAGTCTCTGCAGATCTGCCCAAGCTGACAGGCCACTCAGCTGGGCAGAGCTGGCAAGGCCGAACCACAATCAACTTCCTTCTCTTCAGGAATTCTTCAGGAACTTGCCAGCAACACACAGTCAGGGGAAAGCTGTGCCAGCATCAGCCTTCAGCCTGTCTTGTCGTTGGCTGCTTCAGACCCAGTTCAGGGGGATAACTCCCTGTCCTTACTAGCCATCTGCCCACTCCCCTCCAGCCAACCACACTCAAGGTCCCCACAACCTAGCTCTGCACACAACTCCCCACCTCTAAGCTGTTCTTCTAGTCTCTTGTCCCTTGACCATGTTCCCAGTCCACACCAGGCCTGTATAACCAGGGCTCAGAAACGTGGTCTGGAATTCAAGGGGAAAGGCCAGAATCCACAGCTGCCTTCCAGGACAAGCACTATCAAAGGAGCCCTGGGCCCCAAAACTACCTGGGTGAGCAGGCTCTCTGCAGTGGAAGGGTGGATGGGGTGGACTGGGAGTAGTTCTGAAAGGAGCCTAAGGTAGCACTGAATGGGGTTAAGGGTCCTCGGTGGCCCCTCCTCTGATACTGTACCCCCAACTTCAGAGTCCCCCAAAGAGGCACCGTGATGGTTCTCCCTTCCAATATGTGTATCCACCACCTTGCACTTCTCTCTGTGCCCAGGTCCAAGCTGTCAGGTGAGTGCTGGGGCTGCCCTACTCTCCTGGTTACCATTTCCTGTCTATGCTAATCTGAAGCCATGTTTTTCTCTCTAGGCTCCCTTCTGAGCTTGTGGCCTGGGCCTTGCACTTTGTGTCGGAGCCACCACCAGACTCTGAGCCAGTGCAGATGTGAGCACATGGGAGTATGTGCATAAAGGGTTGTACTGAGAGTGGATAAACAGTGTTCTGCACTTTGCTTTGTTTGAGTTTTTTAATAAAATAATCTCATGCGGCACGAGGGCAGGGAGTCAGGGGTTGGGACCGCCGCCTCTTTGGTCTGTGGTTGGGGAGGATGGGCTCTGCTCAGGGCTTGAGGACTCTGTGGGTTGTGGGGGTAGAGGCTGGGCTCCAGGGCCGGGTCCTGGAAGGGCAGATGGAAAGAGGAAGAATCAGGGCTGGGCTGACCAGATCCACCAGTCCCCTTCCCCAACTAGCTCTGGCTCCTACTTACCTAGGCTTGGGGACAAAGGTGCTTCAAGCTTTGGCCTGCGCTTGAGGACAGGGGAGCGCTGCAGCCGCAGGGGCCGATCTGAGGGACAGAGAAAGGCTTGGGGTGGATTGTTAAGGGATTGTCTGTCTAGCCCCTATCCCTCTTCCCAGTCTGTGTGAAAACACGCTGCTTTCAGGGGCCTCCCCATTCCCGTGCCCTCCCACACCTGCTAGAGGGTTGCTCTGCAGGAGGGGCTGGGCAAGGCCAGTAAGAGGGGCCTTTTGTCAGGCCTTGGCTTCTGGCCCCAATTTCTTAAGCCCTGTGGCCCATTTTCCACCCTGGACTCAAACACACACAGAGGTGTCTCCCCTCACCAGCAGGGGCCTGGAGCTGGTCCTCATGCACAGACACTGCTCGTCGCCCCACCGAGAGAGGCCTCGGCCTCAGCTGACCATCTGGGGGAGGCCAGAGTGTCAGGAAATGGCCCCAACTCTAGCCCTTACCTCCCACTTTTAGGGTCCTCAGAGGAATTGCTTCCATCAGAGACTCCTCTAGTCCCCATCCCAACCGTGGGCTGGGGGTGTAAAAGAAGGAGGGCTGCTCACCTTCGTTCCTGGGGCCCAAGCATGGATCATCCGGGAGACCTAGGCTGTCTGGGGAGGGGCTGGCTCTTCGGGGACTTGGGCTGAGACATGGGGAGGGAGGGCCTGGCCCATCCTGTTGGCCCCAACCACGGCCTCTCAGCTCTGCATTTAACTGCTGGCCCAGAGTCTTCCAGGCAGCAGGCTCAGGGCCCTGGCCACCTGGGCCAGGTCTGCAGGATGGTTCTGAAGAGAGAGGGGTATTGGCCAGGTTTGGGAGGTGAGCCTGACCACTGGTCTGACCCCTTCTTGCTGCCTCCTGCACCTCCCCATCAGTTAACAGAGTCCAGGTACGATATACTTACCAGCAGATACAGAGTGAGTCCGAGACTTGATCGAGATGGGGGGTGCCTCTGTAGAGCTGTCCATAATATCACCTGCAAGGTAGGGCTGAGGACTCAGGCACCAGACCTTAGGGGGCAGAACACACACCTGGCCTTCTCCCCAGAAGAACAAGTGCCTTGGGAACTACAGGGACATGTCCCTCCCACAAAATGCTGCCCAACCCCAGGGTCCTACTTACCATCTGAGCCAGCCTTCTTGATTTCTCCATCTTTGCTCTATAGGAAACAGGGCAGTCAAGCTTGGCCCTGCCACATAGCATCCCACCCTTGCCTTCAAAAATAAAAACCCCCTCAAACTCTGTTCTCAAGTTAGAACTGACTCATAGCTGGCCCTCCAGATTTTGAGAGACTGTCTAGTTCTCTCCCTTGAAGTAGCTGGTGGATTTAAACCACTTGCCTTTGAATTGGCAGTGCAACTCTTTACCTACCAGACCACCGGCGCTCCCTCCCCCTTGCCACAGTCCTATTTGTTCATTCTTGTTCTTATAACAACCACAGAATGTCCACTGTGGGCTGAGGAAGAACATGATAGATTCAGTCCCATTTCACAGTCTGGGGCGATGGATTGATAACACATGGAGAAACATCCACATTCATTTAAAAAACAACACACCTAAACAACAACTTGCTATTAAGTCAATTCTGACTCCTAGCAACCCTTGGTCCTATTTCCAAGGCTGTACACTGCAACAAGAGGAAACTGCCAGTCCTTTCGCAGAGCTGCTGCAGGTTTGACCCTCCACAAGTACCCACAACCCTGTAGGTCACGCCACCAACTCCCACTTTCACAGACAACAGTAATACAGTTTAACTGCAATGCACATTCAAATGAGTAGCCACGGGAGGTGCTTGTTTTCTTAAAAAGCTGTCATTAAATGAGTGGTGACCAGGACTGTGGTTCTTAATAGGGACTGTGATCAGAGAGTAGCCACGGAAGGGAGTGGGGTATGAACCATAGAGCAGCACAAGGATGGCTGGAAAAGGAAACGTGCATCTGCAAGTAGAGGCTTGTGAGAGTCCAGGTAGGAACTCTTGAGTTAACAACCCAGGATGGAGAGTAGCTCCGTCCGTCATATATCCTGTGGGGCCTTGACGCCCAGTGTGAATCCACCAACTGCTCAATGGGAGAAGGATGGGCAGCCAGTCTCCTGTGCAATTCACTGCCTCCTGGAGGGTAGCTAGCTATGAGTTGGTTCTGACTCAGTGGCTCAAGCATTCAACATGGGGCTTTGAAGCAGGGTTAAAGATCTGGACAATTGAGAGGAAGCCCTGGAAGTGACAAGGTCAGATTTGTTTTGATCTGCAGAGAAGGGACTTTCAACACCAAAGCAGAAACTAGAAACGGCAGTGGCTGAGCCAGGGCAGAGGCCCTGAGAGGAGAAAGGTTGAGTCTCACTACAACTGAAGCAGGCAGGGCTGGAGCTGACCATTAGATACACCTGTGTGCCACAAGTCACGTGCCACAAGCCCTATCACTTGCCTTCCCCCTCACCTTCTAATTATGCACCCCACCACTTACTTGCTTTCTCTTGCCTTCAGCACCCCCACTGCCTCGGCTCACGCCAATCCTCTGCAGCATCACTTGTACCCGCTGTTCAAAGGATGGGGCCAGCTCGGTTTCTCCTCGTTCCAGGGGCCTTCGCTGGAGATGAGAGTTGTCCAAGTAGGGAGGGAGCCTAATGCCCTCAGTTCAGAAGAACCCTCACCCTGCCATCGGGTCTCACCTTGTCAGGCCGGACGCTCGGTGCTGCCTCCTCTTCCTCAGCCGGCAGCAGTATCATAGAGTAGGCCTTGCTATCCCGTGTATAGCGGGGCCGACTCCTTCGGGCAGCGTCAGGGCTGCAGGTGCCCCCCTCCGCCCCACCAGGTTCTTCACCACGGCCTGGACGGGCTGGTGGCCTCAGCAGGTCCCCAAGCATGGCTTTCCGGCTTCGGGGAGCTGCTCCAGGGCTGGTCTCTAGATCAGGCCGAGGCCCTCGAGCTGAACGAGGCTTCTTGAAGGCAAAAAGGGTGCCCAATTTCTTCCGAAGTGTGCGCGGGACAGGGGTGGTACCTCCCTCAGTGGCCAGATCCTCCTCAGGGACCCAGCTGTGGGACAGCCTAAAGTGAGTGGGAGTGTCCACAAGGACTCCCACCCTCTCCCACCCCCTGCGTCTGCCCCTCACTCACAGGCGATCTTGGTGGATCAGCCTTTTGGAGAAGAATTCCTCCACACCCTCGTCCACACGAGCACTGAGCCCATTCCCTTCCTGTGGCAGGGCTGGGGGTACCTGGGGAACACCATGGGTCAAAGATCAGGGCCAAGTGCAACAAGGACTGGGAACTGGGGTGACCACAGGGGGCTGCTGACCTCTCATCAGTGGGCAGAGGTGCTGGGTGTCACACAGCTCCTCACTCATTGCTGACCTAGGTGCACACCCAACCCACACCCATACTTGGCACACGCCCTGAGCCACCCAGTTACCAGCAGGCTGGCACCCACGCGCCCCCTGGGTCACACGGTCCCACCTGCCACCCCCTCTGCTCCAAACAGTTCCCTGCAGTGCCCCCCACCCCCACCCCACCCAGCCTGCTGCCGCCTGAGCGGCGCCGGCTGCTGCGTCAGACCCTCTGATGGGGGGGCCTCAGCCGGCTCCTCCCCTCTCCGCCCAGCGTCCACTGCCCCCCGCCAGGACCCAGGCCGTACATAAATTTCACACATCCACCCTCTGAAAGTGCGGTGGGCTCCAGATCGTCCCTGCAGCCCGCTGCACCTGGGAGCCAGCATCTCCCAGTATCCCTCTGGGGAGGAAGGGCAAGATGGACATTCTCTCTCGCACCCCAACAGTGCCATCCCGAGGCGGAGTCCTACACCCAGACACATCCCGAATGAAGCCCTTGCAGCCGTGGCCCCACTGGGCGCACCAGGCATGGGCTGGCACGGGGGGGCTGGCCAGACGGAATCCAGGATGTGGCCGCCTCCGCACGACCAGATGGTCCTGGGCCCCGCCGCCCACCTCCGTGGCCGTCATCATCCGTGAGGAGCCTATGGACCACCCGCGACCCCCAATCCCACAAGCTCCACACTGGGGGAGGGCACTCACCTGGGGGCCCCCCGG